TCATACACAACTATTTAGTGGTTCTTGAAAAATTCCATAGAGCAACTAATGTGTTTTGAAGCTTGCCGCGTAAAATTTCTATGCTCTATCTATATTAGTGATTTAAAAGGCTTGTTTTAGACTCGGTTGGCTTTGTTCCTGAGCAAGGAAGTTTCTAAACGCCTTGACACTCTGGTGTAAGGTTTTTCTTTGCAAGGCTTACACCCTAAGTATCCGATAGTGCGCCCTAAATATGCTAGCACTCTGTCGCGGCCCTATACCCGGACTCGATCGTGATGACGCCTCTCGTGAAGACAATGCCAGCAGACACTTCCCATATCCAATTATTAACAGTTAAACCATAAGAAATAAATCTAAAGCATGATAAGATAATCCAAAGTTAACAGATAATAGCATAATTCGCGAAAAATAACCCAACACAGCCCGATACCGGGGTGTCACTAGTCATGAGCATCTAACAAAACGGAATACTCCAAATCAAATTACAGAGTTTAATACAGAAAAACCAAGAACATGAAGAAGTAAGATAGGGAAGAGCTCCGGGCTACGAATGCCAACAGCTACCTAGAGACTCCTCGGATCTGCCTGAGCCGGAAATGATCAGCACTCGGGAGCGGGACCAGATACACCCAAATCTGCACACAGGGTGCAGGGAGTAAAGTGAGTACTCCAACTCAGTGAGTAATAATCATAAATAAAGACTGAAAGCAGGAAATCACGTAAGGCACAAAAGCATGCTATAATGAAGCAGAAAAACCATTAAAACAGTAAAGCAGTGAAAGATAGGTAAAAATCTTTTAACTCAAATTTAACTTCATGAAAAGCCTTTTTCAACAATTAAGCATGGTAATTGACAGGCAATTAAGAAAAAGATAAACTCATAAAGGTTCGCCCCTCGGGTACAATATCAATAATTCCGCCCTTCGGCTCAATCTCAGAACAGTACCAGCCCCTCGGGCTCAATCTCAGATCACAATGGGTACTCGCGCTCACTGGGGGTGTACAGACTCCTGGAGAGGCCCCTTACGGCCCAAGCGCAATATCAAGCCACCTCGTGGCATCATCACTAGGCCCTCCGCATTATAATCAGTATCAAATATTTCCTCACAACATAGGCCATCGGCCTTACTCAGTCAAAATCCTCACAAGCCACTCGGTCAATAGTAAAACATGATTCTCAGCCCAAAAATATCATTTAAAAGATCATGTAAGTGTTAAAACATAGTAAACATGGCTGAGTACGAAAACAGTGAAATTTAACATGACTGAGTTCAAGTATAAAATCAAAACAGTGAGGAAATACCAGTAAAAATCCCCAAAGGGTTCAAATAGTTGGCACAAGGCCCAAATATGGTATTCAACCCAAATCATGATGATAGCAAATAGATTTCCGTCAAATACGCGGTAAAATAGTCATTCGAGATGGACTAAGTCACAATCCCCAACAGTGCACGACCCCACGCTCTTTATCAAGCGTGTGTGTCACCTCAATATAGCACAACGATGTGCAAGTCCGAGGTTTCATACCCTCAAAACTTTATTTACAATCATTACTCACCTCGAACTGGTCAAATCTCTAGCTCGCGACGCCTTTGCCCCTCAAATCGGCCTTCACTCGCGTCGAATCTATCCAAAATCAGAACGAGGACGTCAAAATTTGCTAAGGGAACGAAGCCCAAGCGAAAATAATCAATTTACAATATAAATCCCAAAATTACCAAAACCCGACCCCCAGGCCCACATCTCTGAATTCAATAGTTTTTACATCAATAGGTTTCTTATCTCCCCACGAGTTCATAAATATCAAAAGTTCTGAAATCCGACCTCAAATGGTCCTTCAAATCCTCAGTAAAGGTCTAAGTTTCCAAGCCCTAGTTCTTCAATTTTTTGCTTAATTTCCATGATTATTTAGGTGGAATTCACATTAGAATCGAGTTTTAAGTCCAAGAATCTTACCTCCAAGTGATTCCCCTTAAATCCCTCTTCAATCCCCTTCAAAAAGCTCCAAAAACGACCAACAATGGAGGAAATAAACCCCAAAATCGCAGACAAGACGAGTATTTAAACATTCTGCCTAGGCCTTAATTCCTTCTTCGCGAACGCGGTCAACGCCTCGCGTTCGTGAAGCACAAAAATGACTTTGACCAAAAATCCTCTTACACGAACGCGACATGCCCATCATGAACGCGATGGTTCCTCATACTTACTCTTCGCGAACACACACTCTCTCTCTCTCTCGCGAACGCGATGAACAACTTGACCTCAAACCCAGCTGACCAATTTCCTCTATGCAAACGCGCTTCCTTTCTCGCGAACGCGATGCACGAACATCCAGCCCTTCGTGAACGCGGAGCCTTCCTCGTGAACATGAAGGCTAAAATCATCTACCTTCTCAACTAACCCTTCGCGAACGCGAAGGTCACATTCTCTGCAACAATTCAACAGTTTTCTGCAATTCCAAATAACAAGAAATGATCCGATTGACCACCCGAAACTCCTTTGAGGCCCTCGGGACATCAACCAAAGGCACCAACATATCCGAAAAACTTATTCAAACTTGTACAAATCTTCAAAATACCTCAAACAACATCAAATCAACCAAAACACATCGGGTTCAAGCCTAAGTTTCCAAAATCTTCCAAATTCCGCTTTTGATCAAAAACCCAACCTAACTGCGCCCGAATGACTTGAAATTTTGCACACACATCCCAAATGACACAACGGAACTATTGAAACTCTCGAAATTCTATTCCGACTCTTATACCAAAATCTCGCCTACCAACCGAAAATCGCCAAAATATCAACTTCGCCAATTCAAACCTAAATCTACTCCGAACCTCCAAAACTCATTCCGATCGTGCTCCTAAGTCCCAAATCAGCTCCCGAAGCTATCCAAACTATCAGAACTCACATCCGAGCCCTCTAACACCTAACTCAATATCCGGTTGACTTTTCTAACTTAAGCTTCCTCAAAAGAGACTAAGTGTCTCAAACCTTACCAAAATCATTTCGAATTCGATCCGACCAACCCGATACCACATAACATGGATAAAGAAAGCAAAAAGAAGCAAAAATAGGGAAAACGGAGTGGTAACTCATGAGACGGCTGGCCGGGTCGTCACACACTCAATCTCGGGGCTCGCCTAATAGTTTGTACATAAATCATGTGTCAAATTTCCTAATTAGCATTGTTAACTCACAAATTCTTTAACAAATAAATAGTAAAAGTTCTATTCATCTAATAAAAATATCAAGATAGAGAGTAACTCAAACAATGAGTTATAATATTACATATTTATTAATTGAGAATATTGTGAGGATAAATATCATTTGAATATTTTTTTTAAAACTAGATAGTCGAATTCTATATCTTGACTTGCTATTGGTCTTCAAGGCATTTAATTCTGACCCTCAAAATTATCATACTTTTATTATTTTGTTATTTGAAAGCGATTTTGTATTTATTTATAGAGTAATTTTTTTTTGGGCAACTAACTTATTTTATTAATTACCAAGTAGAAATTACAAAACTATAGCTTAGCTAGCACAGCTTGCTATACTTCCATATACATTTCATACTCTACTACCTAGAAATATAGACTATATACAAAAGACTTATTTCTAGGAGTAACTCTAACACTAACAACATAAGCTATTTCTTTTGCAATCTGCTCCCATACTCTACATTTTTTTCAAAAATACGTTTGTTTCTCTCCATCAAAATGTGATAAGCAACCTCTGCGTAGACCACTCTAAAGACCTGAGCATGCTGAGTTTTCCCTTTGGCACATAATACTGACCATTGAAGGAACTGCTGCCTATCAATAAATCCCACATATTGCTTTTTAATCCAGCTGCACATTTTACTCCAGATTTGCTTAGCATATTCACACTGCCCAAATAAATGATCTTTGGTTTCCACTACCTTTCTACACATTACACGTTATGTATCTACAGTAATCTTCCAGCTACTTATTCTATCACAAGTCATCAATCTCCCATGCATCATAAGCCACATTATGAATTTTGCCTTTGGTCTTGCTACATTGTTAAACATCAAAGTTTTCCATTCCACCCTATTGTAATCACCAAGCAAGTACAAGTATATTTGTCTGATCAAGCTTCTGTTATGAGTTTGACATATTGTCTAGTTTCCAGTAGCTCATTTGCCACTATCACTTTCCTTACCATCCAACAAGTTTGCTGAGGTATTAGCATTGTGCTCAACTGTTGATTCTTAATGTAATATGTATGAATCCATCGGATCCACAGCTTATCTTGCTTATGAGCTAAGTTCCAACAGTTTTTAGCAATAGTTGCTTTGTTCCATAACTTCAAATTAACAACATTAAGTCCACCTCTAGCCTTAGGTAAACACACTCTATCCCATGCCAGTAGGGCCTTCTTTGTGATTTCATTTGCACCATACCATACATAAGATCTACATAGTCCCTCTACAATCTTGATCACTTTTGTTGGGAGGATAAATAGCTTTGCCAAAAAGCCTGAATACTAAATAGAACACTTTGGACTAACTGTACTCTTCCCGCATATGACAAGGTCTTGGCAGTCCATGAAGTGATCCTTGTAGTCATTTTATCAATAAGGGCTGCCATTGCAATATACTTAGTTTTTAGTAGATAGAGGCACACCTAGGTATTTGAAAGGTAGTTCACCATTAGAAAGCCCCAAAAGTTGCAAAATTTGTTGTCTATCTTCCATAGGAACTCCTCCAAAATATGCTTCACTTTTGCTAAGGTTTGCTTGTAGCCCTGATACCTGAGTGAATTGATGAAATTTCTATTGCATTACTTGAACTGCCTTCATATCACCTATGACAAACAGTAATAAATCATCAGCAAAGTTTAGGTGAGTGATTCCTAGCTTTGCACACCTAGGGTGATACTTAAACTCATTCTCCATCTTCAGACTAGCCAAGTTCCTACTCAAGTACTCCATTTCTATGGCAAACAGAAAAGGTGACATAGGATCACCTTGTCTCAATCCTTCGCAGCATTGAAAGGTTTAGTTGGCTCAGCATTAACTACAATAGAGTAATCAACTGTCTGTATACATTCCATAACCCAAGATGTGAATAGCTGAGGAAATCTTAACTCTTCCATAACTTGTTTCATATATGGCCATTCAACAGAGTCATGGACTTTATGAAGATCTATCTTTATCATACATCTAGGAGATATGTTTTTCCTAGTATAAGCCTTCACCAATTCATGCGCCAATAGAATATTATCTGCAATCTTTCTCCCAGGTATAAACCCTGCTTGAGATTCATTGATGATTGTACTAATAATGCCTTGTATCCTTGCTTCCAGAATCTTGGATATCATTTTGTATAGTATAGTGCAACATGCAATAGTTCTGAACTCTTTTATAGTTTTAGGTTTAGGAACCTTGGGAACCAAGGTTATGGCTGTGCAGTTTATGGCTCTATACAGTTTCCCAGTGGTAAAAAACTCCATAACAGCTCCAGTGACTTCATCCTTAACAATAGGCCATGCTTTCTTGAAGAAGCATGCATTGTAACCATCAACTCAGGTGCCTTATCATTGCCAATAGAACACAGACCTTCATAAACCTCTGCTGGAGTCACATCTTTGCACAATTCAATCCTTTGTTGTTGATTGAGTTTAGCTCCCTTGTGCAGAACCAGTTTGTCTATAGCAGGAATTGATTGGCAGTGTAAGCACGTGTTTTTGCCCTATATGAGAATTACTCCCAAAAAATTCAAAAATAAAATGATTTTTCTTTGGTGTGCAATTTTGTAATATTTTGTTATATTTTGAATAATAATTTGTATTTGTATGTGCGTGTTTATTCGCTAAATTAATAAAAAATACAAAAATATGTCGCATTTTG